AATGTACGATATTAAACACCTTTCTCTGTCTCTCCTTTACCTACTCACTAAACTCTCTTGTGGATCAGACACAGTTACAAATTACCGCTTCTGATTTATAAATATCTAACAGTTTTGCTTTATCAATCTCAATTAACTTGCTTTAGAAGTACTAACCAGAAAGGAGAAGCAAAGGGAAAGAGATTAGGAAAGACGCTTATGTTGAATTTTAAAGAATGCATTGCTGGGAGGTCAAAATTAATACTGTATTCCTTTCAAATATGCTATTCCTCATGGGCATGAAAACACATTAGTAGTTAACACACACTCTCCTCAAGATAAAATAAAAGTTTCAAAAATCAAAATATTGATGACATTGTCCCAGTAGTTTGTTTTCAAAGACAGGAAACACTTTTCTAGTGACTTGGGCTAAGCTTGGGTTAGCACTGGTTGCTCAAATACAAAGAACAAATGAGAAGATGAGAGGTGTATTAGTGACTTGCAATAGCCCCAAATGGGAAAAGGATAGGCTTGTTGAATATGAAGGAGACACCTTAATTCTCTAAGGTTCAGTTGGCACAACTGAAAAATTAGAATATTAGATTTACCCTTTATCCTCTAATACTGTTTTGATCTTATTACTGCTGTATAAACTTTTAGAATTAGATGATCTCTAAGTTAACTTAGGACAACTAAGTTATCATCTGGGATCCATGGACCCGAAGTAGTCCATACATCATGTGAGTGGGATGAAAACCTTTGTGCATTTATTTATTTGGAGTAGCTCCTTAGATGTTTCTACCAAATACAAAATTTCCAGAATCACTCCTAATCTTTCTATGGTTGGGAAATTCAGGACCACACAAGAAACATGACTTCTCTATTTTACATATTCAGCATCAGCCGTTGGAAACCTCATACCCTTAATCACAGGCTAATATTCTTTATTTGATATCAGACGTTATTTAGTCTGTCAACTAAAACTGTTTCTTGATAATACTCAGACTCTTCAACTTCAATTCTGTGTGGTTCAATGTCCCAGCACAAGATTTCTGGCAGATTTTGGATAAAACAAAAACAAAAACAAAACACCCTTGTTATTATTAACTCAGCCCAGACGGTGATGTCTCACATATTGTCCTTGCTGGGTTCAATGAATCTGACACTTGTCCTACTGAGCTGATGTAATCCACATCTCGTCTCTCTTCAATTCGTTTGTATTCCTTTGATCACAATTGCCATGTATTCTGATGCTTTTATTCATAACTAAGAAAAACACTTTGGATACTGCCTTTGGCTTTCTCCCAAAAAGCCAACAAGATGACTTTTAATTGGCTTTTAATTCAACAGCCAATCCCTCTGTAGCTTAACCATTTCGAGTACATTCTAATATTGATTTTTATATATTTTTCCATTGATAATGATTTTCTATCTTTAAAAATAGGTACTCTCTTATTTCTTGCAATCAACTTGCCTGTCTTTTACTATGCTAGAAGTTGTTATTCATCTTGTAATAAAGCAAGGTGGTCTAAAGCCAAGAAAGCCAAAGTAGCATTTCAGTCACACCACATTGACCTACGAGATGCATTACCCTAAAATATGACTTTAAAAGATCCAGATAGCTCAGTTGAGGTCTTGGGGGGAATCTCCTACAACTCTTCTGTTTAGGCCACAAGTTTTCTCTTAACTTTGTTCTTAATCTTTTAGATAGATATAGGGCCTTGAGATTCTGTAAGTTTCCCAGCTCTTGTTATTGAGAGAAAGATGTCTTCATAAATCTCTCACAGATAAATATGGAAGATCAAGCTGTCAGAACTAGAAATTGTGTGCTGCAAGTGATTTCTTGTATGACGTAAGGTAAACTTCTTCACTTTTCTTGTTCTCATCTATTTTTTTTTGTTTTGTTTATGTAGTGAATGTTAATTACATGTTTTCTGTTCTTTCATAGAACATATGACTGGGACAACATGAGAGAAACAGCTTTGTGGGCTTTTACGTACTACAATACTGTGATTATTAAAAACGAAAATGCAATAGAAACATTAGAAATAACAAGTAGAACCTAAATGGTCTTCAACAGAGGTGCTAAACAATTTGACTGCAGTAATTGTACAGGCTTTAGCTAAGCGTAATGTGACTGATTATCAGCTTTAACACAAAACATTTTCAGGCTTTTCTTAGCTGATGTGACTGCATCAAGGTGAGCACCTCCAATGTTAGCTCACGAAAGTTTTCACTGGCCGGGTGCAGTCACTCACACCTGTAATCCCAGCACTTTGGGAGGCTGAGGTGGGCAGATCACCTGAGGTCAGGAGTTCGAAACAAGCCTGGCCAACATGGCGAAAACCCATCTCTACTAAAAAAATATAAAAATTAGTTGGGGGAGGTGACAGGCACCTGTAATCCCAGCTACTAAAGAGGCTAAGGCAGGAGAATTGCTTGAACCCGGGAGGCAGAGGTTGCAGTGAGCTGAGATCGCACCACTGCACTCTGGCCCAGGTAACCAGAGCGAGATTCTGCATCAAAACAAACTAACAAAAAATATAGTTTTCATTTAGCATACATGGTTATTGTTTCTGCCTCAGGAATCATCATGTTCCAGAAAAATAAATAAGCCAGGTCTAAATATATCCCAAGAAATTTTGATAAGAAATAAATAGCATCCTTAGTTCTGCTATGAAGATATTCTTAATCTTATACTATATTTAATGAATAAATAAAGTTATATATGAAGTTTTTGTTCCCTAGCATTTGTAGCATTGGTTGTGTTAATAATCAGAATAATTATTAGTGATAATTATCAAGATAATATGCCAGGAACATTTCTGAATTTTTTTAGTTTACTTTGAAAATAAAGTTAAATAAAGGAAAAAATGGCCATTGTCATTGTGAAGAAACTTAGTAATGGTTTTCTCCATCTGTAAAACGCACTAACCTGCATTTTGTTGTACTAATTTCTTTAATAATTATATAAAAATTATATAATTTACATTTATATGATAGCACATAATATCTGACTTTGGTTGGTTAAAACAACCTATCCAAAGTCAGACGTTACGTGCCATTGTATAAATGTTTTTATCTAACTGTTACTACTTGTGTTGGTTATCCTTAAATACCACATATAGAGTATGCTCAACAATTTAAAAACTAAACATAGAAAAATACAAAGACTTCCATTATTTTGCAATATGGCAAACTAAACATTAATGGAATCACTTCCCATAACCATACAACTAATTTTGATGAATAAAATGTGAAAACAACAAAAATCCTGTGTACAGAACAGGAGAGAATTCTGTGAGTGCTGGAGCTGACATTAACCTGGAGTCAACTGTCCATCACTGATAGCCTAAAGCCTCTATTATAATCAGTCAACTGCACTGGAGAGAGGAGGACAGTGACTAGGGTGCTGGCAGAATGGCAGCTCAGTTAAGAGAAATTCGGAGAAAACCAAGGCTTCTGAACGATCATAAGTTAAAGTCAGTTAAAACCTGACTGGAGAGAGTTAGCAGAGATATGTTTACCAGTCTCTGATTCCCAGTGAAGCTGAACAAAAAAGAAAATGTTTACTACGAAAATTCTTTAAGTATTATTTTGTTTATAATTGACACACGATAATTGCACATATTTATGTGGTGCAGTTTGATGTTTCATTGCATGTATACATTGTATAATAAACAAATAAAGATAATTAGCATATGTGTCATTTTAATTTATCGTTTCTTTATGGTGATAGTATTCAAAATCCTCTCTTCTAGTTACCTTGAGATATACAATACACTATTAGCTATAGTCACTCTACTGCGTAATAGAACACCATAACTTATTCTTCCTGTCTAACTGCAACTCTACACAGTGAGCAACTGTTCCCCCTTCCCGCCAACCCTCTATCTCTGATAGCCTCTATTCTACTGTCTATACTTTTTTTGTTTTGTTTTGTTTTTTGAGACAGAGTCTTGCTCAGTCACCCAGGCTGGAGTGCAATGGTGCCATCTCAGCTCACTTCAACCTCCCTGTCCCAGATTCAAGCGATTCTCCTGCCTCAGCCTCCCGAGTAGCTGGGATTTCAGGCATGCGCCACCAGGCCCACCTAATTTTTGTATTCTTATTAGAGACGGGGTGTCACCATGTTAGCCAGGCTGCTCTCCAACTGCAGACCTCAGGTGATCCACCCCCCTCAGCCTCCCAAAGTGCTGGAATTGCAGGAGTGAGCCACCGTGCCCAGCCTCTACTGTCTACACTTCTATGACAGTAACTTTTTTAGGTTCCATATATGAGTAACTTTATGCAGTGTTTTTGTCTATCCAGGCCTGGGTTATTTCGTTTAACGTAATGTCCTCCAGTTTCATTCATGTTGCTGCAAATTTCTTTGAGAATTCTTAACAGCAAGTTTGCATTTATATGAGTCTGGGGACAGATTTGCCGCCACCTTCGGGACAAGAATCTCCAAGCTGAAAATTTCTTTTAGAGTGGTTCCAGGTTGGTTTTACCCTCAGACTCCCAGAAAAGGTTAAAAAAAAAAAAATCCAGAAGAATGTGTATTTTCAAAACAAGTCTCAAAGAATTCACATAAAATTCTAAGTTATATGATAAGCCTAAAATTAATATATATATATAAATAAGAGGAAAATATTTAAACATTTCTCTCCATATGAATTAGCAGAAAATAATGAAATGTTAAACCCATAAAGTCTGCAAGTATTAGAATTATCAGACAAGAATATAATGTAGATATGTTGAATATGATTTTTTTAAATGCTTTGAAAGTAAGGCCAAGTAAATCTGAAAAATAATAGAATGTAAAATGCAGACATTAATGTAATAACAGGATTTAGAAACTCAATGCACAAAACATACAGTACAGTAGAAACATCAGATGTATCCTCCATGAATAAGATGGTGAATAGTAGTAAAGTAATTAAACCAACTGCAGAACAGAAACTACATGAAAAATAGGAGAGATTGGAAGATACATTGAATAAGGTAAGAAGATTTAACATAATCTATTTTTAGAGTACCTTATGCTTTAGGAGGCTTAGGAGGGAGAATCCCTTGAGGCCAGGAGTGTGGAACCAGCCTGAGAAATATAGCGAGACCCTGTGTCTGCAAAAAGAAAAATAAAACATTTAGCAAGACATGGCACACACCTACATTTCCAGCTACTCAGGAAGCCGAGGCTGAAGGATCCCTTGAGCCCAGAAATTTGAGGTTGTGTTGAGCTATGATTGCACCACTGCACCATTCCAGCCTGGGTGACAGAGCAAGGCCCTGTCTTTGGAAAAGAAAAAAAAGGTTTGGGGGAGTGGTGAGAATAAGCAATAATTTAAAAACATAGCAGAGAGTTTGAATACTGATGGAAAAAAATTATTCCTCAAATTGGTAACATAGATAATTCAAAAAGTAAATATTTTTTAAAAATCCAAATGAGAACATAGTAAAATACCAAAGACAAAATTAAAAGCAGTCAGTGACAAAATATAGACTAACTGTGACAGGTCTATTAGATATTGGCAACAATAAAATTTAGAATATAATGTAATTACATCATTACAGTGATTAGCTAAAAATATTTAAAAATAATCTTGGAAAATCTATGCCCAGTGAAATTATCTTTCAGTAATGAGGATAAAATAAAAGTATTTTTAGGCACACACAAAGTAAAAACATATTCTACCAATAAACTCTAAAAGAACTTCTAGAGAAATTCTTTATTTCTCTAGAAAAAACTCTAAAAGAACTAGAGAAATTCTTTATTTAAGAAAATCAATTCCAAAGGAAGGTCTGAGGTTCAAGAAAAAATACTGAACGAAGATGATGATATTATATCAGTAAAACTAAAGGCAGAAATTAATTATATTAAACAACAGTAATAGTATGCAGTTTAAAAATTAATCAATTAACATATATATAAATCATGACCAAAAAGTAAAATAGTGGCAAGTGAGAGGAATTCTTATAGGGATAGAGTCAATATAATTCTTTCTGTTAGCTTTAGAATTTATTAAAATGTATATATTAATTTTAAAAATTATAGAAAAACTACTAAAATATAGATTTGATATAAATTCTAAACCAGTCGGTGGAAAAATTACAATGACTGAAAAAAAGGAGAAAGAAAAAATACCCTCAAATGGACGGACAGAATTTATAAACGAATCATAATCAACGTAGGGCTAAAGTAAATATTGTATTAAAATAAAAATAAAAATTGTCACACTGTTATTTTAAGAATATATTTTTAAAAGTATTTCTATAAAGAAGAGAAAAAACACGAGGCAAATTCAAGCAAAATAAATATATTGGATGTGTCTATATTAATATCAGATAAAAGGTACTTTAAATCAAAATACAAATAAACAGAGTAATCAGACATTGAGAAAAGATTCAATTCACCAGAAAGATTATAAAGTTGAATGCAATTAACAACAGTTTTAAAACTTATAAAAAAGAAAAATTATGGAATCCCAAGAAAATGAAAAATTTATCATCATGAGAGGTTTTAACATATCTCTATCAGATATTAATGAAAAAATAAGAGATTAAATTAATAAGTGGAGGATTTGAAAAATTCAGTAGAATTTTCTGTGTCTTTTTTCCCCCCGCTCCCTCTAGAAATCCGGTTACAATGATTCTAACGGAATAAATAGAATTAACCTATCACCTGAAAATAATGGGAGACATTACCTATAGTGGATAAGTTAATTTAACAAATTTATGGAAGACAGAATGTGAAAGTGATAGGAGAGACAGAATCACAGAAGTAACAGACTAAAACTATACATAAGGGAAAATGTAAAGGGAGAAAGGAGATCATTTTCCAGACAGAAACCCAAAGATGCGCTAGCATAAAAGTTCACAGGTACAGAGAAAGTCCAATAGAAAACAGAAAGTTAGAGACTCTCTAAAAACCTGCCTCTGACTTAAAAATAAATTAAAAGTCTTTCATTATACTTTTGTAACTATAAATTTTCTCCATTTTTAGAAACAGTTAACCTAAAAAAGATATGCAGGAAAAGCATACTGTGAACAACATAATGATAATTTTTTAAAAACATTTCATGAAAATAGAAAAAAAAGATACTGCTCACAAAACTGTAGCTCATACAACTGTCCTTTACCCTTCTGCTAGCTAGATATGCTGAGGCATAAAATTACAAATCCACATTTCCTTGCAACTCGTTAGGTGCATATAAAATGGAACCTGTACATTCTTTTTTCCGTGTGTCTTTAAAGTAACACTGCAGCCAGTGGCATCTTCTTGATCAGTTGTGGTTTTAGAAATACTACTCCTATGTACTATCTTTTCAAAACTCAGAACAGTTTTGCCTTGTTCTCAATGACAGCCCTGAAGGCCTAATCTACAACCTAGACAGGCTGATTTTAGTGATTTTCTGACTTGCCATATCCTTTAATCAAATTTCTTCCTTCTTAAAGTACTTGTAGAATTTTCTGTTCACTATAGTTATTCCTGACTGATAAAGGTATCCACTATAATTGCTTCTCACTAACTTTTTTTATTTGAATATCTTAGCCAATACAATAAGATCAGAAAAAAGAAATAAAAAATATGAGTAACAGAAAGGAAGTAAACTATTATTAGGTGCAAATAATATGATTGTGTATATCTATGTCCATTAAATCAAGCTTATTCATTGGGTGGTGTAAAATCCTCATTCTCACTCAATTTTGTCAGTAAGATCAATTACTATAAAACGCGGGCATATTAATGACCCCATTTTAGTTGTATACTTGCCTACCTGTCCTTGTAGTAGGATCACTGCAACTCAGCAGAAATATGATTTAGAGTGGTCAGAGTATTTTGATAAAAATACTTTGTTGCCAACCTGGTGAAACCCCATCTCTACTGAAAAATACAAAAATTAGCCGGGCATAGTGGCAGGCACCTGTAATCCCAGCTCCTCGGGAGGCTGAGGCAGGAGAATCACTTGAACCCAGAAGGTGGAGGTTGTAGTGAGACGAGATGGCACCACTGCACTCCAGCCTGGGCAACAGAGTGAGACTCCATCTCAAAAAACAAAACTGAATAGACAACAACAACAAAACAACACTTTGTTTTTAATTGTCTGAGTTTTTTTTTTTTTTGAGATGGAGTCTTGCGCAGTCTCAGAGGCTGGAGTGCACTGGTGCCATCTCTGCTCACTGCAAACTATGCCTCCTGGGTGCAAGCGATTCTCCTGCCCCAGCTTCCCGAGTAGCTGGGATTACAGGAACCTGCCACAACATCTGGCTAATTTTTGTATTTTTTGGTAGAGACGGAGTTTCACCATGTTGGCCAGGCTGGTCACAAACTCCTAACCTCAAGTGATCCACCCGCCTCAGCCTCCCAAAGTACTGGAATTATGGATCTGAGACACTGCTACTGGACTGTCTGAATATTTTTATAAAAATTGGTCTTAGTACACCATTTTGGATTATTTTTTTCTCTCAACGTTTTGAAAATGTTATTCTATGTTTGGGTTTCCATTGTTTCTATTAAGAAGTCAGCTAGCAATCTATTATTTGTTAATAGCAATCTTTTTTTCTCTCATTAAGTCTTTTACGAACATTGCCTTTTTAATTATTTAGTTTTATTACAGTGTGACAATAGGAATTATATTTTATGTATCTTACTATGATTCATTTGGTTTCCTGAGTCTAATGATTGGTGTTTTGTAAAAAGTTTTGGCAAATTTTTTAGGCATCATTTGTTCAAATATAGCTCTCTCCATTTCTTCAATTTTTAAAATTCAGGTGATTCAATTACATTAGATTTTCTGATTCTCTTCTTTATGTTTCCTAATGTTTCATGCTTTCTATTTCTTTGTTTTTCTGTTATATAGTCTGATTAAGTTCCTGAATATCTTTTCCAGTGCATTCTTTCCTCAGTTGAATTAAAACTACTGATAATGCCACATATTGAATTATTTAAATGATTTTATTTTTCACTTTCAGAAATCTTATTTAATATTTTTTCAAAGACATTTTGTCATTTTCATTGTCATATATTACTTTATGTTTTTAAAGTGCATTAACAAATTTGATTTTATGTCTATCAAATATTGAAAATGTTTTCTCTTTCTATCCAATGTCAAGTTGAGACAGAAATTCCTCACAACCTATTCTGGATATGAAATTTGTCCGTTGTCCTCTGTACTTCTTGAGGTCATTAAAATCTAAGCTCAGATGTCTTTGGTTTGGCAAATACCCTGAAGTAACCACCTGTTTCAGTTCTCTGCTTATAACTCTGAGTTTCTACTTTCAATTATTTTTTGGCATCTAAAAATTTCTATCTTTCTTGCAAGATTGTGTTTTGAGAGGAATGGGTTTGTAAGAATATTTTATCTAGCAATTGCAATTGATTTCAACAAGAGTTTGTTCAGTTATCGAGTCTATCATACCATCTGAAACAAGAATTGATTTTTTCTTGTTTATTACTTCTTTCCCCAAATGGAATGAGGTAAAAGGAAAGTCTGGTACTTGGCCTGTCTTAATCAGCATTATATCTTGTGCATATAAAACAGTTTCTGATATGTATTAATATTTATTGAGTAAATACAAATTATGAGTACCTCTAGTTCATTTATTTTAATATTTATTTGCATTTTATGATTTCAATAAAATACAGAAAATTATTAACAATTACTATAACCTCTAAATGTATTTACAATACTTTTATGTATTTCCTCACTTTTCAACTGTGAGTATGTATTAGTTTTTAGTAAGAAGATATTTTTTAAGAATTAAATATGTCATATGATAAATACATTTTAAAATTGCTAACTACCCAAAGAAAAAAAGTTACAGGTAATAAAACTACAAGTTAACAGTAGCTATCTATGGGTGGTAAAGTATAGGTTGTTTGTTTTTTAAAATTTATTCCATCTTTAAAATGTTCTATAATTATATATTGTTTTCAATAAACAAAATGTTTATTTTAATTCAATAGACACTCTAGATGGCCTAGAGGCAATTATTTTCTTTAAAATCCTATGTAAAATTTAAACATCTATTTTTAAACTGAAATATATTAATTGATTAATATATGTCTGACTAATGCTAAGTACCTTATGTATATTGTATCCATTTTTACAAGCCAATAAAATCTTTTATGCATAATGAAATTAAATACAGTTAAGGAACTTTCCATGGACATACATGTATGTAAAAGATTGTAATAGCAGATAAACGACAACTGCCAGGGAAGACATAGAGCTGAAACTCTTTGTCTGTGACTTTTATGGAATGTCAAAGCCATGTCTTTAAATATTGGCCTAAACTTCCTCACCCCCTGTGAAGAAGTAGTGTTCCCATCTATGAAACATCAATGGAATTTCATTAAAGAAGCAGTACTCTGGCTGTATTAGTTTGCTAGGGCTGCTATAACAAACACAGACAGGGTAACATAAGCAACAGAAATTTATGTCCTCACAGTTCTGGAGATTAGAAGTCTGAGCCCAAGGTGTAAGCAGGGTTGGTTTCTTCTGAGGCCTGTCTCCTTGGCTTGTAGATGGCCACCTTCTTGCTGTATCCTCACATGGTATTTCTTTTGCGATCATCATGCACCACGGCTGTCTCCCCGTTTGTCACTCTCCTCCAATAAGGACATCAGTCATAGTGAATTAGGACCTACCAGAATCACCTCATTTTAACTTAGTTACATGTGTAAAGCTCGTGTCTCCAAATATAGTCATATTTTGAGATACTGGGGGCTAAGACTTCAACATATAAATATTTAGAGTAAGATAATTCAGCCTACAACACAGCCATACTGAAAGTGGGCAAAAATGCAGTTCTACATTAATAATAGTGCTCTATAATAACTTGAAGCTAAAAAAGACAAAATCCTTGCAACTCTGCAGAATACAGTCTCTGATTAATACATGCGGATATTTCTGGCTTGATTATGTTGGCATTTTCCCAATATATGGTTAAAATTTGTTGTCATGAACATTTGTTATAATTTAGTAGTTAAATTCAACAAGGAGCTATTGTGTTCCAAGTACCATGGGACATTTCTAGTAAGAATCCTTGATGCAACACCAAAGAGGCTTACGATATTACTAGTGTGGGAAGAGGAACCAAAAAAGATGTATATTAACTATTGTAATAGCAGAGAAAGCACTCAATAAATGACAGCTGTCAAGTAAATTATATAGGTGAGATACACAGTACGTTGGATTTTAAAAGAATAGATTTCATTTTAGGGGCAATATAATATCAGTGTGCTTATTATTTTAATTGTGTGGTGGTTTGTGTGGACCCTTTTCCTCTTTAAGCATATGAGGTAAACATCAACATAGCTTTTGGGAAGATCATGGTTTTGTTCAGACATTGTTAAAATCTATTTGAAAACATTTAATGTTTTTGTGGTATCTGATCATGTGACAAAGAAGGAGCTGCTTTATAAATTAATCTTATAGAATAAAGTAAGATTTCTTTTAGTATCTCTTGAAAAAAATAAATAAGAAGAAAAATGATTTCAGTCACATAACTAATATATCAATGCAAAAAATTCAAGGGTAAGATGTTATGGTTTTTAGAGATACAAAAAAGCAACAAAAGCTAGATAACTAAAGTAAGTGCAAGACACGATATAAAAATAGAAGGGAAGGATTACAAATTAGTATTTTAAACAAGGGTAACATTGTCTCTCAAAATTTGTCTCAAATGGTGTGCTTGACAATGTCTTAATCGCATAAGTATCAATGCTAAAGCAATCGAAGATGCCAATAAATTCGAAATCTCAGGGAAATTTCTGAGAAGCTGCCAGTGGAACTCTCATAATATGCATAATCTATTTGAGATTTAGTCGGGTGACAGAAATCAACTGATACAGAGAGGTCTATTTTATTATAATACCTATATGCCTGCTTTCCTACTTTATGTCCTCCTTTGATTAATGCTATTGTGATTCTTATGCTTTAGAACAAAACAGAAGAAATCTATGTGTTTTTTTGTACTTTAAAAGCAGTGGTTCTTAAATTGAGTAAAAGTCCCCTTTAGGAATTTAACAAAAGCTTAGACTTTTAGAAATATTTATTCATTGACTTATTCCTTCAATACACATGTTGAATTGCTATTATGTGTTAGGTATTATTTGAAGTATTATGAATACAGCAATGAATTGAAAGATAAGATATCTTATATTATAGTAATAGGAACAAGGCCAGTCAAAAACAAAATAAAAAGATTATTGCAGATTGTAATAATGTAATGAAAGAAATAAGCAGATTAATCAGAGATGAGACTAACTGTAGGATAACTGTTGTAGCTAGTTCTTCAAGGAAGCTAGTGCATCTCTGAGAATTTTATCTTTGAGCTGAAACCTGAAAGGTGAGGAGAACTCCAGGCAGAGGGAAGAACAACTTCAAGCACCCAGGGGGAGAAGGACTGAATATATTCAAGAAACAGAAAAGACGGCTGCAGTCATACCACAACGGGTAGAAGAAAAAGTACAAGTATGGAGCTTAAGTAGGGACCACAGTGTTTCAAGTCTTGAAGACAGCAGTAAGTAACCTGGGTTTTAACTAAAGCTTAATGAGGTGCTTCTGACAGTGTATAGGCATAATCCTATTAACATTTCAAAAAGATAGCTCTCTTTGTTGTGTTGAGGGTCAATAGAAGCAGCAAGAAGATCATGAAGCAAATGATTTTAACCCATCAGACACGGGAGGATTGTAGCTGGGGGGTAAGGTGGTGGCTGCAAAAATGAATATAACTATAAATAGAACTGGAAAGATTTAGAATGGCAGATAACCAGGTGATTTTCTGGATTTATTTGGAAGGTGAGACAAAGGAGTGATCAAGATAATGTCTAGTTTTTAGTCTGTAGCAAATATGTGATAGTGATGGTAGTTCCATATATAAAGATAAAACAACCTGGTAGAAAAGAGAATCAGGGATTTCTGTTTTGCATTTATTGAGACATATAGATACATAATAATATGTATGTACAAAAAAACCTCAATAGGTCTACAAAACAACTGCTAGAACTAATGAGTGAGTCTAACAAGGTTACAGGATAAAGGGTGAATATTAAAAATGCTTTGTACTTGTATATGTTGGCAGTAAATAACTAGAAAATAATAATTGTTCAAAATCCATTCACAATAGCACTAAAATTCATAAAATACTTAGACAAATACAACAGAAAAAATAAAGATCTCACACTAAGTATTATAAATATTCTTGTGAGAAATTGAAGGTCTAAATAAATGGGATGATAAATTACATTCAAGAATTGAAAGTCTCAATATTGTTAAATGTCAATTACTCAAAAATTGTCTATGCTTTCAATGCAGTTCCAATCAAAATCCCACAGGTTTTTTTGGCAAACTCTATAAGCTGATTCTACAATTTACATGGAAGTTCAAAGAACTTAGCATTACCTTGCTAAGCACTTTCTTTAACAGAAGAACAAATTTAGAATAATTACCATACTTGATTTCAACACAAAATAAAGCTTACAGAAATCAAGACACGTTAGGAGTGGCAAAAGTTTAAAGATACAGAGGGATGAGACAAAGTCACAAGTTCAGAAATAGACCCACACATATTTAATTGATTTTTTTACAAAGGCGCTAAGACAATTCAATAATCAAAGAAAATACTTTTCAATAAATATGACTAGAACAATTAAATTTCTAAATGGAAGTAAGATAAGAGATTCGTATCTCATGCCACAAAATGGAAATTGATTACAGACTTAGATGTAAATCCTAAAGTTATAAAATTCCTAGAGAGGTGAAGAAACGTTTTCTTAGAACACGAATATTATTAACCATTACAAAAACATTAATCAATTGTTTAATCCAAATTTTTGCTCCTTGGAAGCACAGGTAACAAAATCAAAAGGCAACCCACAGACTGGGAGATAATATTCACAACACATATACCAGATGATCTAGAGGACCCTTAAAATTCAAAAATGAAAAATGGAAACACTGTATAAGAGGTTCTGTCAATTGAAATATGGAAAGTAAAAGCAATAAAACATACAAAGTTAGGAAATAGGAAGTAAAACTCTCCCTTAGGGAGATAAAACTTTGCATATGCAAAACATAAACCCAATAAGTTTACATATTCACCAACGCTTGATTTTTTTCAGTCTTTAATCCTAGCCATTCTGAAAATGCGTAGCGCCATTCATTATGGCTTTAATTTGCATTTCACTGATGACTAATGATGTTCAGAATCCTTTCAAGTGCTTAGTGGCCATTTGTATATCTTCTTGTCTGATGTGTCTGTTCAAATCTTTTGCCCTCTAATACACTGCTAGTGAGAATTACAGGCAATTGTAAAGGTGGGGTCACTGTAGAGAGTGTTGGAAGCATCCAGGGTTATTTTTCACAAAACAAAACCAAAAACAAAATTAAAACAGGTTAAGAAAAAAGAAATTCCTTTATATCCCAGCTCAAATATAATCTTTGTTTTCATTTCTTTGCCACTCATCTTTTCCACAAAATTACAAAGTGCATTCCCTGTTCTATCTTTTAAATACCTACTACGTGTCATCATCTTGCTAATCAACATAGTTAAAAGCAGTAGCCAAGACAGTAGGTCCTGGCTGATTTGGGACTTAGAATCTGTATGTTTTCAAAATACATAGTTGATATTTCTATTAGAGCATATGTATGGTATTTTACACTTAGCATTTGTCTGTCTTCCCTATGAGGTTGCTCATTGACTACTGAAAGGTTATATGTTAACTTGTTTTATTCTACAACACCTAGCATAGTTCTTTGCACACACTAGGTACAGGGAAAGAAGAAGGAGGAAGGGAGGGAGGGAAGAGGAAAGAGGAAAATGATAATCCATTTGGTTTACTCTTTTATTTATTTGAATACTTCTCAGAATCTGAGATAAACAATGTTTCTATAAGATTACGAAGTCAGCACTGTTTAAAGAAAAATAAATCTCCCCCAAATCTACTGTTGGACATTGAGTTCATATTGAGGTATAATTATCCAGTTAATTTGACATTTATCTGGAAGACTGGCTACCCAGCTGAAAGCCAGTTTAGACAATATTCGCAGCTATTTCATGGAGATTTGCACAAGTGCTCATTTGTGCTTGCATGTGTGAAATTCCTGCTGTGAAACTGACTTCAGGACCAGATTTCAAGATCAATCTGTTCCATGTGCAACATCCCAGCTAGAGTACTGTCTTCTGAAGTCAGTCTTTCAGCCAAGTGCTTAAGTGAAGGAGGCTGATTGCTTTAGGTTGAATACCTGACTTAGGCCCCTCTCAGCCTACAAAACCAGAGCTAGCAACATGGACTGCCTGTGAATTCCATACCATGGTTACACACAAAACCCAACGCCTGAATCTGCTTTGTGAACCCTTCTTAATATTCCCAGAAATATTCTCTTTCGAGGTGATATAGTTTGGGTATTTGTCCTGTCAAAATCTCATGTTGAAATTTGATCTCAGTATTAGAGGTGGGGCCTAGTGACAGGTGTTTGAGCCATGGGGCACATCCCTTATGAATGGCTTGGTGCCCAGATCATGAGTTCTTGTTTTATTGGGTTCCCCCGAGACCTGATTGTTAAAACAGTTTGGCAACTTTCTCCTCCTGCCTCTTTCTTATGCTCCATCTCTCAATATGTGACATTCAGGCTCCTCATTTCTTGGGCCATGATTGGAAGTTTCCTGCAGTCCTCAGCAGAGGCAGACGCTGGCACCATGTTTCTTGTACAGGCTGTGGAAGCGTAAGCCAAATACACCTCTTTTATTTATAAATTACCAGCCTTAGGTATTCCTTTATGGTAAGGCAAAATGGACTAAGACATTTGGTGTTCTGGATTTAGTAAGAGAGAGAGGATCTGCTGCAGCACATTCCTGACCACTGGTATATGAGAGTTTTACAGTGTTGCCTCAAAATTAGAGTCATAACTGAAACAGAAAGAACCAGGTAGTCACAGCTTCAGAAATCAAAAAATACAGAGAAAATACTACTACTAATACAAATAACAACAACAATAATTTTCTTTACTTTATAATGTTCTAATCAAATATATCAATATAAATTCATAAGATCAAAACATTCTATTTTTTATGCAAAGGAAGTGCTGCTAGGAGAGCAGAGAAGCCTTTAAGTCATAGTAGGGCAGCAGTTCAGAGCTAGAACAATCGTTTTTTCCCGAGTTTAACTTCATTTTAAAGATGAAGAAGGAAGCTTGAAAGAGATTAGAAATTTTATTGTATTATATAAATCATTTAAAACACGATCTTTACTACAGAAACATTAATAGTGATTTCACCAGCAAAAGGGACAGGCTAAACTAGTTCTGCAAGAGAGGTTAACCTGGGTTACACTTTTTTTCTCTAAAACCTTTTCCATTGCTGTTTCCTCTGCCTGGAAACATATTTTTTTTAGATACGTACATAGCTCAATACCTCACCTCTTTTATGTTCGTGTTCACCAAATATCACTTCACTGGGAGGACTTTTCTAATCATCTATTGCAAAATTGCAACCCCATCACTTTCTATTCCTTTTCTCCATTTTTCTCACTGTACAATGCCTATCACATTCTAATATCATACTTCACATGTATTTCCTTACCTGTTTATTTTCTGTTTCCTTCTCTAGTATGTAAATGTCGATGGCAGGAACTTTGTCTTCCTGGTGCCTTCTAACATTGCCTGGCATGGATTAAACACTCAGTAATTGCATGGGGGATTGGATAGATGAGTTTTCTCAGAAGCTCATCAAAGTCAAGCTTCTCCTTGTACTCTATCACTATCTCCATATTGCCCCATGCAAACACACACACACACACACACACACACACACAGCACCTACATTAACACACATGCACATGCAACCACCACACATACACAAGAATTTTTGTCTTTACTAAATTCAGCAAGCTCTAAGCCGCAAGATCTCCACTAGATTCTGCTAATTTGGGTGCAGTATGTTAAGGAAGGAAAATGGGCTCACGATTTGGTCATAGCCTTCAAAGAACCTATTGTCTGTTTATAATGAATTGGAGAAAAGTTCATCTGACACATTGACTGTTTATGATGTTTGAGGACACAGAAATATAAAGTATTATATTTTGCTTTATGGCACCTTGAAAGTCTGGAAAGCTTTCAGGAACAGGGAAATGAGCAGCATTCCAACCAGTAAACAAAGATGTATAAAGGCATTCCAGATAAAAGAATCTATGCAAAAAATGACGTAAAGGAATGAGAAGGCAAGGCATGTACAGAAACAATGTCCAGCTTCCTAAAGGACTGAATACAGCAGGGGCAAGTTCACTGAAAGAACATGTTGGTTCCAGTTTGTGGCATGATTTGAATGCCATTGGTAAACATTTGGAATTTATTCTCTTGGTGATGGGAAGCTATCGATGGTTTTGCTTGGGGGAGAAACGTTAAACAGCGATCTTAAAATCTTTATTTAATATCAGGCATCATGCTAAAATGTAATACGCATCATCTTGCTTAAACCTTGCAATAAGTCGGAGAATAAGATTGTAAAATTGAGGAAACCGATTTTCAAAAAAGATAAATAAAATGAAAAGGTAAAACAGCTTGAAAGTACAAGAAATCGTTTAAAAACAAGTATCCTAATTTTGGGTTCCTGGTTTATTCCAGTTCACCTACCCGATTAAATCTGCTATTTAAAATATTTCTTTGGGACCATTATTTATGAGATACTCTATTGAAACAAAAAATTCAGTTGTAGAGTTCATATAGGAGTTTTCTGCAAAAAAAGAAAGAAAAAACATGAAACAACAAGGGCCTGAACTAGAAAATGGGATGGAAATAAAAGGGCAGATGGGATAGGTTGTGTGAAGTTATTACACAGACCACTGGACAACTGGGTATTTTCCCTCTGGGCTAGTTTAATTTTGAAGAAGAAAATAAAAACTAAATTGCATTTTATTATTATTTATTTATATGATCAACTAGCTTAAGGGAAGAAAAATTAAAATAGCAGTAGAATATAAAACCAAGTGCCAATAAGGCCTTTTAAAAGAATGGATACTATAATATCATTTCTTCTTTCTTTTCTGAAAACAAACAAGAAATAAAAGCTTTCAATATTTTTAGGTTTTCAAATCCACCCACTTACACCTGTTCAGAAACATCTGTTTTCCTATAAAATAGAGACCAGAAAAAAACAAAAGGCCAACTAGTAACAACATATGGTGAAGAGAAAATACTTCTCTGTTAGTTAGTTTTTGTTTGTTTGTTTTTGATTTTTGGAATATATCTTTAAAACTAAACTGCACATGATTGATTAGGTATGAATATGGGAATCTCCCCCATTATACTTTGGATTCCTGGCACTCCCTTATTGGTTAATGTCATTAGTGCATCACTTATTTTCATATGGTTTTACAGATATGTGGTTATTCTGGGTATTTCATGGTGTTAATTTACTAGGATTTGGATATATAGAGAACACATTCCATTATCTTAGAATACAGCTAAAACTCCTGACATCTTTTATTTTGGAACTGCAATGACCTTAAGCACGTCTGAATTAATTATAATCTAGCACAACAATGAATCTTAGCAAGGTACTGTCTGGCGAAGAAGATGATACATTTGACTTGAGAAATAAATAAAAGAGACAAGCCGTACTTAAGATAGGGAAGAGACTATTCCAGACAAAGTTAACAATAAGGGAGAAGATTCTGAAACCAAAACAAGCCTGGAATTTTCAATGAATAGAAAAAAGTCCAGTGTGTCTGAAGCCAGAGGAGATGAAAGAAACAGTGAAAGAGGAGCTTGAAAAGAAGGCAGAAACAAGATCAGCCTTGCTTTGGAGGCCACGAAGAAAATATTCTTTCTATTTACAATGGGAATTCATTGGAGTGTTTTAATTAAAAGAGTAACAGATCCAATTTACATTTTAAAAAGTTTACACTGATGTCTCTAGATAATGAAAGTGGGAGTGCAGGGACTGAAGCAAGGACACCAGTTAAGCAACTTTAACAAATCCAGATAAGAAATAATTGAAGTCTTGGGCTGGAGCATTGGAGATGATAGGAAGTGTTCATAGTTGGGATACAGAGTAGAAGAATAACAGATTTGGGTATAAATGAGCACGGAGTTTATGTCACTGAATTTATATTCAATTAGTGTATGTTGTGTAGAATTTATTTTTAAAATCACAAAGAATAATCGATGATATTTTTAACAATGATTAAATGAATAAAGCTAAAAATGGGAATTTCTCTATTTGGTACACATGGTTTTTAGAATCAGGCTATTAAGCCATTTAATTTAATTTAATTTTTTGATACAGGGTCTTACTCTGTCACCCAGGCTAGAGTGCAGTGGCACAATCATGGCTCACTGTAGCCTTGACTTCCCAGGCTCAGGTGATTCTCCCACCTCAGCCCCAAGTAGCTGGGACTACATACATGTGCCACCACATCCAGCTAATTTTTATATTATTTGTAGGGTTAGGGTTTTGTCATGTTGCCCAGGCTGGAATAAAGCCATTTTAATTCATAAAAGGACACTGACAATATACCATTTATACCAAACACAATTGTTTATTCACATGATTTATTTTTTATAAAACTTCTGAATATCTTACTGTGTCATTTATCTGCTCTTAAACTTGTTGAATTATGTTATTATAGCAGAGGTTTTATTTAAGGAAGCTGTCATATACAAAAATTTCAAGAAAAATAGGTAATTATGCAAAGAAATGTATAAGAGTTAATTTTCAGTGTACATGAGACTTTGGTTTTTCTGTACACTAGTAAAATATAACTGAATCATTTAATAGTAAACATGGCCAATACTTCCAAGCCTAATTTCAACTAGAGAAATGCCTATTTGGTTGGAATTGTGTGAACAGTTTACATTTTCTGCTAAAATATGTTCAAACTCAACTAGTGTTTGTATAATGAGATAGTCTACCTTAAGCACTAATAATGGTTTGCTGCATGATCATCATACTAACAATGTGTTGTCATTTATCACACCTGCCATTGATGGAACTCTAAGAATTTCACAAACAGCCCCTCATTAATCTATTCACTTAGCTCCTTTCTCCTTCAAAGCTTCTAAGCTATTTAAGAAATTATGTAGCAACTATGGGAAAGAGATTTTGGAACATTCAATGAAAAAGAAAGGGGTTTCAGGGTTGCAAAGATGTAAATTCCATGTGAAACAATCGGGAGAACTGACACAATTATATATAATTATATATTATATAAGATATATATTATATAGATAAGATATATATGATATATATAAGATATATTATATAAGATATATAAGCTATATACATATAATATATGTATATATTAATATATTATATATAAGATTATTATATATATAAATTCAGTGACATAAACTCCGTGCTCATTTATACCCAAATATATATATATATATATATATATACACATATATATATATAATCAATTTCTGTTTTTTTAATGGGAAACACTCTAAATATTTAGATCAAGTTCTTCATTTTAAAAATTGAGCATCTCTGTCTAGTTTCTTACTCATCTGTTTTCCCTGGCAGTTTGGAGCTTACGGAAGACCTGGGGAGTCTGTCACACTAAAACAAATTATGGATTGCACCAGTACTATATAATTATAGCTAAAGATTGTTTCCCATGAAACTAAATTTGATGCTATATTCATATACAATATACTCAGTATTCTAAAATATTCTGAAATATTATTTATACTGTTGAATAATAAAGCATAAAGCCTACTCTGAATATCTTAAATAGGTATATGTTCTGATTGTTTGGCATAAAATGTTAGACTAGTTAGAATGTTAGTAATTGTTCTTTAATTTTATAATCTCTTTATAGATCTACTTATATCATTAGATTATTTATTTTATAAGCACTTACAGAAGACCCTCGTTTGATAGCTGTTATATAATTTCCTCAAAATACTAAACCTTAAGCAAATATTTTTTATAGATAATAAATAACTCTGAAAAATATTCTGCTGATAAAATGAGTTAACAGTCACCTGAATTTAAGGAATTGAAAAGTTTTAGAAAGATAATAGAGAGATAATTTATATTTACAAAGATTAATTCCCACAACAAAAGGATACTTCACATTACAAAAACATTCACATTAGGATTTGTATAGACATCCCTTTAGATATCCCTGTGTAAACTGTATATTTTATGTTAAAATATTATTTAAAGTTCATACAATGGAAAACTATTTATACTAGGAAAATATTTAGGTTCTTAAAAGGTAATAGGTTTGGATATAGTTGAGAAGCTGCAAAGGTTCATGAGAATGTAGTAGCAAGCAGACCCACCCAATTAATTGTGTAAATGTTAAATCAAGCATTCATCCATAGGTGAAATAGGCAAGTCAAGATAAAACGTCTTCTTAATTAGAAAATGGCAGTCATATTTCCAAGTAGCATATATAGATGTAAATCTCCTTCTGAATAAATGGAATCAGGGCACCTAATTGGATTGAAAAATAATGTCGCTTAAACCTGTCTCAGCTTAAGCACAAACCATGCCTTCCTTATTTTTAATGAAAATCAGAATTACCTGCGGAAGAAAGACTAAAAAATGACTCAAAACTTAGTAATTATTGGTAATGGCTAGAAACCTGGAGATGTTTGATCCCAATTAATCTTAATTGTAGAAGGAATATTACAACAAACACCTATGTAGACACTGTCTCTGTTAAAATTCAGCCACTTTATCATTATGTTATCAAAAACTAATTTTTAAGTGTTACAAAATATATAGGTGGGGTTGAAGCCCCTCACGCTCATCTTGCATTCCATGACCCATCTGAAAAGGTACTAAATATGCTTAATTTTGCATTTTTTCAAAACCATTCACGGTTGCATATATTTACCTCCTATATTTGTCTTTATGGAGTAGGAACATTATTATTTTGTATGCTTTAGGCTTTATATAAGTGCTATGTCCTATATATATTTTTCTGCAACTTGCTTTTTGCCATGATCTTACATTCTTTAATATTTATCTTTGTTGATATGTATAAATATAGCCGATTCATTTAAAGTACCCTGTAGTATATCACATTATGGATATATTATAATTTAATCATCTATTCACCTGTTAATGAACATTCAGATTTTCTTCTATCATAATATAGCAATGTTCTCTTCTGTTTACGTCTTTTTTTTTTTTTTTTTGAGACTGAGTCTTATTCTGTAGCCCAGCCTAGAGTGCAGTGGCACGATCTCTGCTCACTGCAACCTCCGCCTCCCAGGTTCACGTGATTCTCCTGCTTCAGCCCCCCAAGTAGCTGGGATTACAGGTGTACACCACCACGCCCGGCTAATTTTTTTGTATTTTTAGTAGAGACGGGGTTTCACTATGTTGGCCAGACTGGTCTCGAACTCCTGACCTCGTGATCCACACACCTCAGCCTCCCAAAGTGCTGGGATTACAAGCATGAGCCACTGCGCCCAGCCTATGTCTTTTTAATCACATGCATGTTTCTCTGAAAATTATTTTCACATCTTTAATTTTACTAGATATTATCAAATTGATCTAATTGTATTTACTATTATCTGCTCCATCAAAGAGCAATCATTAGTGGTTTCATTCATAACTATACATATTATTGCCAGGGGTTTAATTTTTGTATCATATTGGTGATGTATTATTTTATAAAATATAAATGATCCTATTTCCTAGGAGGCATGAGCATCTTTCAGTGTTACCTGACCATTTATCTCCATTTTGTGCTGCTATGACAGAACACCACAGACTGGGTAATTTATAACAAACAAACAGAAATTTACTGGCTTATGTTTTTGGAGGCTGAAAAGTCAAACATCAAGGGGCTGGAATTTGGTGAGGGTCTTCTTGCTGCATCATCCCATAGCAAAAGAGCAAAGAAAGGGCAAGAGAGAGAGAGAGACAAAAGGGTGCCGAATCTGTCTTTTTATGAAAAACCCAATACCAAGATAACTAGCCCATTCTCATGATAATGACAATCCATTTATAAGGGCAGAGCTGATAAGGTTTGGCTGTGTCCCCACCCAAATCTCATCTTGAATCGTAATCCCCATAATCCCCTTGTGTGAAGGGAGAGACCCAGTGGGAGGTGATTGGATCATGGGAGCAGTTTCCCCCATGCTGTTCTCATGATAGTGAGTGAGTTCTCATAAGATTTGATGGTTTTATAAGTGTTTGACAGTTCCTCTTATACACACTCTTCTCTCTTTCCTATCAATGTTCCTGCTTCCCCTTGCACCACGATTGTAAGTTTCCTGAGGCCTCCCCACCCAGCCATGCGGAGCTGTGAGTCAATTAAACCTCTTTTCTTTATAAATTATCCAGTTTTGGGTATTTCTTTATAACAGTGTGAAAACAGACTAATACACAAGAGCCTTCATAGCCTTATCACTGCTTAAATGTCCCATCTCCCAACAGTGCTACATTGGGGATCAAGCTTCTAGCACATAAACTTTGGGGGACACATTCAAACCATAGCACCATTTATTTATCCTCTGATATGAACCCTACCCATTTCATTTGAGATTGTTTTTAAATCTTAAAGATGTTTTAGTTAAGGATACGAATAATCACATCACAGAGAAAGATAATTAAATAGTCAAGTAACATGTCAAAAACTGTTCATTCTAAAGAATGTTCCAGGATATAAAACCCATCTTCTTGGTATTTGGTATGAGTGTCTGTTTGGGTTTATTCCTGATTACATATATTACTATTAAATTTTTATCTTTTACTTAATGTAAAGGAAATTATATCCTGTTTAGTGAGCAGAAGCATCATTCAATTTTCATAAAACCCTAAAAGTTAAGAATAATAATATGACATTTCATTGACTTAGACCTGGAAAAGTCCATCAACGGGCTCAAATTCACCTAGTCAGAAATGAAAAATGTCAGGTTTGAAACTGAGGGGTATCGTTCTACGCTGTTATTTGTTTAACCATTCCACTAATCCTAGTACCTCTTATTTCTTTATCTTTTACTTCCAGACTCGTTAAGAACATGATATAATGTTAATAGAAGCTCTGGTATTAAGAATATTAAGAAATTTTTATCTATTCCTACCTTTAAATGAAACACAATTAACATATCAGTTTTAGTAATAACACTTGTTTTTAAATTGGTAGAGTAGCTCTATAGCATAGTGATTAAAGAGAGTAGACTAGAGCCAAGCCACCTAAAATACAAATCCAAGTGATATGGTTTGGCTGTGTCCCCACCCAAATCTCAACTTGAATTGTAATAATCCCCACAGGTCAAGGGCAGGGCCAGGTGGAGATAATTGAATCATGGGGGCAGTTTTCCCCATAATGTTCTCCTGATAGTGAATAAGTCTCACAAGATCTGATGGTTTTATCAGTGGGAGTTCCCCTGCACAAGCTCTCTTGCCTGCCACAATAGGAGCAGATAGGAAGAAACGGGCTGTTACCCAGGCACTTACCCACCCTCAATCCATTGACAAGAATAAGGTTTTCATTTCCACATAGTGTGCTCTGGCCTGTGTTTGATTAGCTTCTCCTGTAAAATAAAGGGGATGAAGTAGATAATTTATGGATCTTTCTAAAACAACATGTAGATAGCAATTGATAAATGAAAGAGGTAGAATAACTAGTCAGAAAGAAAAGAGTTTTCTAATCAAACACTGATTCTGAATCAACTGACTACCCCTAAGAAAAAACAAATAATATTTCCTATTTTACACTGTATACAACATAAATTTCAAAGTAAAATCTTGAAAAATAAAGTCTTAAAATTTTAGAGGAAAATATTTTGTATTACCTTAGTACAGAAAAATAAATTTAAAAACAGGAATTGGAAAGTATAAAACTTAAAGAAAAATAGAATTAGAATTGACTATCTTAAAATTACATCTATGAAATACTAAAATATCAATATATAAACATTAAAGTATAATTAAAATATATAAAATGTTAACACATAAATTTACTAATAGTTATCCATAACATATATATAAATTATATAGATACATACACAACAAAGTGAAAACAATGTCTGTGATGAGCAGAATATAAATATACTAGTATCAGTAAGTTAAAGACAAAAAAAATGAATGCAGAATGGGAGATTTTTGGTAGACTTTAAAAGACAACTAGAATTTTCCACATGAAAATTATTTCAGGTCAGGCACATTGGCTCATGCCTACAAATCCTAGCACTTTGGAAGGCTGAGGCAGGAGGATCACTTGAGCACAGGAGTTTGAGACCAGCCTGGGCAACATGGTGAAACCACATCTCTACAAGAAAAAAAAAAATAGCCAGGCATGGTAGTGCACGCCCATAGTCCCGGCTGCTTGGGAGGCTGAGGTGAGAGAATCACCTGAGCTCAGAAGATTGAGGCTGCAGTAAGCCATGATCATGCCACTGCACTCCAGCCTGGGCAACGGAGTGAGACCTTGTCTCAAAATTATACAATATTCTTTAAAATTCAAAGGTGATAAGCAGTTACTCTGTTTAATTTCCTTCTGGGGTAACAAAAACATGTTAGAACTAGATAGAGGTGGTTGTTGGACAATATTGTCAGTGTACTAAATGCCACTCAACTGTTAACTTTAAAACGATTTTTTGTTATATAACTTTCACCTTAATAAAATCAAAGACATTAGGTAAAAGGAATCTTGTTAATTTGATCACAGAACTTAAAATTAAGTTATTATGGTTCTCTTAAATTAAATTATATCATTAAACAGAGAACAATTTGATATATTTAAATATAGAATGTGGTTATTGTAATGTACTAAATATGGAATAAAAAGTTATGATTCTAAATTCCTGACAATATGAAGGACAAAGAAAAGTTAGAACACATCCTCTTTGCCAGATGTCTAGCACAGTGAGCCAAGGTGTTGCTTGAAACAACATTTTGCACACTGCAGAAAATGTTTTTGACTTTCACTGAGATTTTATCAAACTGACTTATTCGTTCTCTGATGGCTGCATGTTCAAGGGGCAAAAATTATTCCCATTTTCTCTTCTTTTAATTCTTTCTCTTTCCTTTTAACATCAATTTACCAGTTTACAATTCCTAAGCCATAGATAACTACACGAATATTCCCATTATCTCATTTCTACTTCCTCCAGAGGACTAGCTGACACGGGAGTAAATCTGAGATCAGATTGTTCAGGATGAACGTCATTTAGAGAGTTGGTCTGGGAGTGGAAAAACACGATGGTTGGAATATGCTCTCAAGGTGCCAGACTCCCTGGCTTTAAATCACAGCTGGTAATTGATGCGGACTCCCCACATCAACTATGTGACCTTGGAGAGGTGACTTAAGTCCTATACACATTAGTTGCCTGACTTGTAAAATAAAAATGATGATAGTAATAGTACCTACCTCCAAGGGTATTTTTTTTTAAGAGTTAATATAGAACATTTAGAACAGTTTCTGTCACATGGTAAGATTACAGTAAATTTTAGCTATTGTTACGATCATCATTAGTAGTACAGCTTGAAAGCAAAGTTTGTTTCCCATTAGGACATCAAATTCTGCTCATAAGGAGTCTAATGGTTTTTGAATTATGAATCAATGAGTATTAAGAGAAGAAACTGCAGCACTAGGAGTCACACACCAACACTCACTCTTTGACTATAAGTATTTGACGGTATACAAGTGTAGGAGCTGATTAAAAATACATGTAAGGCTGCTATCCTTGTGTCTGGTACTGAGGCTGAGCTCAGAAAGGGAAATGAAGCAACAATAATATGCTTGTTACATGCAGGGGGGCGGGGGTTAGCCAGGGGTCCTATGCACTGTTGCAACTTGCTCACATTGTCACTGGTAGCTGACTTACCTTGTTAGTGTGAGGCAGTAGACAGGCCAGTTGTTACTGAGGTTCCAACCAGATTCTTTTTTAGTTACTTTGATTTTTGTCACAAGTGCCATTTACAACTCTGATGAAAGACTCCAGCATTTCCTGCAGGACAACCAAGTCATTCAAGTTGGAGACTTGAACATATTGAAAGATCAATGTGAGTCTCAGTTCATCAGGGATCCAGACATTGATTATGGGTTTGTCCTCACTCTCACCACTTACATATCTGACTGCCTTTTGACTCAGTAGACCTTTCAAAATTCATGCCAAACTCCTTTTGTTCCAAGTTTCTTCCAGTAACTTGGAACTCTTCAGTGAAGGGGTTTCTTAGAAATGTAGCCCCAGATTTGCTATTGAGAGAATACAAACCCATCACAGTCCACCCCTTTTTTAGCTGGCTTCCAATTACACCTCTTTGAGCCATACTGAATTTCTAAATAAAGACAACAGCAAACCCATACTTTCACCTAACATAAGGCAATTATCCCTCACAAAACCAAAAACTTGCTAGCCCTCTCCCCAAAAGACTATATGAATTTTCTTCATCTATTTCAAACTGATGTTCATTTATCTTCTAGTTGAGTCACATTCCCCTTTTGATATTCTGAAATGTAAGTACTAAAATATGAAATTGACTGCTATTAATACACTGTATTGTAGACAGTAAGGAACTGGGAGAAGTAACGATAAAAAAATGCTACTATATACACAAATCTATTCAGATCAAAGTAAGGAAGGTTTTGCATGACCAATGCAGTGTTCATTTCTACAACTGGTTGTGTCAACTTAATTAGGATTTATTACTACCTTTTTCCACTGCCCATTCTATAACCCCTTTATCCTCAGCAAATACCTCAGCTGGTTATGGTTTCTTGTTGTATAGAATGTCCCACATCATCATTCTTGAAGGATCTGGACCATTATCAGGTCTGCTTACTTCAGGCCATTGTAATTTTTTTAATTGATTTTAATATTGGGATATGTGAGTAGTGGGAGGCATTCCACGGGATCTCCCTAGATTATTACAGAAACATTTTTCCCATGATTTTGTATTGTATTTTCTATATGTATTATATTAAATGCATACATATGTATTTATATTTACATATATATCAAACAGGGTATTTAGTATAGACGTTTGACCTAATGCCATTGTGTGAGCTGTTTGTTTAGTCTCTGTGAAGCTGTTATACACAGCCTGAATTCCACAGACCAGTAAGTATAAAAGGGAAGATGGGTATGAAGTTGGTAAGAGCTAAGACAGACTGGAACTCACAACCACACGGTGGAACCCCTGAGGACAGAGAGGAACCCCCATCAGTCTTTACCACCTCTAAGCCTCCAACTTTGATGCTGCAAGTGGTCTGCAAGACACGCTGATGCCTTTCAACAAAGAGCTAAAAATGTGCCTCCCTGGAAGTCAGATAAGTCAAATGAGGTTTCAGATGAGCTACATTAACTAGGAATTATGCATGGAAGGCATTCTGAAAAACACACTTTTAGCCTACCTAAATTGGTGCAACAGGGTACCACAATATATTCCAAGTCAGGCAAGCAAACAAACAAACAAACACTCTGTATCAAAACGCAAGAGGTTTCTAATCTTCTAGAACTCATCCCCAGTGGTACTTTTGTTTGTTTTGTTTTGCTTTTTTCAAAATCAGAGATTAAGTTCTTATGTTAAAAATGAGAAACACTCTCCTAGAAGTTAATGTTCTACATTCCAGACTTGGTTTTGTAACTCAGTAAGTTTGTGACATTCAGGAATTTACTTTTCTAAACTAAGGCTTTGCCTCCCCACCTATAATTGGAACAAATAACCCAGCCTCTTCTTATTCACCTATTCGTTGATATAAACAAAGGAAATAATGGATGTTGAAATGTTCTGTAGCTTACAAAAAGTAATATACAGACTACTAACAGAATTATTAAATTTGTTTTTGCTTTTGTGAACAACAAAGACAAATGATGTCATCAACTACGGAGAATATAATTGATCTCGATTCCTTATGTGGCCTCAGCCCAGGTCCTTATGACAGTTTTTCCAACATTTCAACAAGCTGCCTGCTTTATGTGTGAGGCATTTTCCTTCCATGTGGCCAGCAGCAGGAAATGAAATCCATTACAGCCCCATGTAGGTGGTTAATTTGTTTGAATTGTCATTTAGCTAGATCTTCAGTATCTTCCTAATGATCTCCCTGGTGCAATGCAGTGCGAATCTTCCATGTTACTTGTCATCAAAGCAGCTGTTTTCAAAGATGCTATTTGCTTTTATTTTATGGATTAGTATCCTTTTTTACTTTAATGACAAACACATTATTATATACAGGATATTTGGCCAAGCACTGGAGATGAAGTTTGGGGAGGGGGTGATTTTCTTTTTTTTTCTTTTTTTTTTTTTTCCTTGAGACGGAGTCTCACTCTGTCACCAGGCGGGAGTGCAATGGCATGATCTCGGCTCACTGTAACCTCCATCTCCCGGGTTCAAGCAATTCTCCTGCCTCAGCCTCCCAAGTAGCTGGGATTACAGGTGTATGTCACCACGTTCGGCTAATTTTTGTATTTTTTTTTTTTTTTTTTAGTGGAGATGAGGTTTCTCCATGTTGGCCACACTGATCTTGAACTCCTGACCTCAGGTGATCCACCTGCCTCGGCCTCCCAAAGTGCTGGGATTACACACGCCACCGCACCTGGCCACAAATCATTTTTCTACCTATAAAAATCTCCGCCTACTCTAAAAGAAAGACCACAAATAAGATGAGAGAGAGAAATTTCTATTGGAGTCAAAAGAATGGGAGTTTGTTTCAACTGAGGACAATTAGAATAATATCTTGAAGATTCATTGGAACCAGGCCTCAAACAATACTCCAGATTTCCTTACTTAGAGAGGGGTGTGTGCTTTTCGGAGGTATGGCAGAGGGAAAACTAGAGAGAAATGATTACGTCTGTAAGAAAAAGTTGTCATGAGCCTGGTGAGTATAAAGTTGAATAACATAAGAAAATGATTTGTCCATGTCTCAGATAGCAAAGGCCACCTAATCAGTTAGAACCTACCCCAGGAGCAAAAGTAAGCCGTGTGAATGGGCTCGTGATACAATCAGAGAAGTGCTTAGAGGGTTGCTCTGCTTTTCCACCTATAAAAACATAAATCTGGACCCAGAGTCGAAGTCTTGGAAAATACTTGGCTTATTTTTGTGTTAGTGCCTGTATGGGGAAAAGATTCAATGAGGATAGAGATTTGGTTGAAAAAAAGAAAGGATATGAAATGCAGACAAAAAAAAATAAAGACATTGTGTTGTATCAACTCTCTGTCACTTAAAATTATTACCTTCTCTCCTTTGAAGTAAGACATTCTTTCTTCACACACAAAAAGTTATGGTGACAGGATTATCTAACACAACAACATATTTTGAAATAACACTACTGGAAAAAATCTTATAGGCAATCATGAGAGAATTAGGATTCTTCAAATTCCCCTATGACCCTTCTCCCCATCATTTCAGCTCTAAGAGATTTGGAGGATCACTTTGGGATACAGAGGTAATAATTGAATGCAGCTGTGCTCAGGGAATGGCTTCAGATTCTCCATGGGCGAGCTGGGCCATCAGCTCACCTCTACAGTCAACAGTAAACCTGGTGGCTTAATTGAAAGTGGAATAATTCACATTCCTTCCCCAAAACACAACATACAAAGATGTACTCACTGATGCGCATCATCGACTTTTCTAGCATCAGGTGAATGCAGCACAGCTGGCCAAAGACCAGCTCCCATTTTACCCCCATCACTTGCTTCTTCCATCACATGTTTATCTTTTTAATTTTGCAAACATCCATGCTATATTAATTATGCATGCTTCCATAATTTTGCACACGCCACATGCTTTTCTCTTTGCCTCGAGTACTGTAATCCTTCATTCACCCTGTCTGAACAGGGTGAATATTTTCTTACTCAGAAATTCAAGAAAAAATATCACTTTATCTCTCTAACACTAAAAGTTTTGAGAAATATTTAGTTATTCACTCTCTTATCTGTTAAAATTGTACCATGTGCATGCCTCTAGTGTTACATTTAATCACACACTGAATTATATCAGTTCATATATAGTATATCCCTCAGCATGTATATACAGTTCCATAGCCTGCATTTTATGCAATAACCTATATCTAGCTGTATTTTATTGCCCTGTTCTTGATTATCCTTCCCCATAACTTTCTTACCTACTTCTAGCTTATATTATTGTATAGTATACGGGGTTTTATAGATTACCTAAGTCATATTTGGTGCAAGATGAGGTATATATAAATGCACAAACGTGTGAATAAACGAAACAATAATCTCTCCTCGCTTACTGGCCTGTTCAATCCTTGAGGCATCCATTGCCTTTGGGGTGACCTTTGATGTTTCTGAAGGTGGCAGAATAAATGGCATTCAACAAGTGCTCACTGGAGTTTGGTTAAAGAAGCAAATGGTAACTTGTTGAGAGCTACTTCTTCATACTTTTAAACAAGTGAATTAGCATTTCCATCATAACTGATACTTTTGCTGAAAGAAAATGTGCATGCTTTAAAATGTGAATAAAAGGTTATTCTTGTTATGTGGATTAGTAAGAATTTTTTTTTCAAGTGTCTTTCTCAGTGGCATCTACAGACCAACTTTAGGCATTCTATATAACAAGTCTATTATAGATCTACATGCTAAAGACAACGGGTAAAAAAAACTGTCAGAGTCATTTTGTGTTAATCTAAACTGACTGCCTCCTGCTTTAATCACTTACCTGCATCCTGCTAATCTCATGGCTTCACCTTTTTGACACTAAAAGAGAGGGGAAAAAAACTAAATTTCTTTGCATTGAAATACATAGAATACTGAAGTTAGATAAAGTATAATTTTTTTTAACTGACTACTTGGCTTAACTAGGTTTTATTAGTTTTTTATAACTGGCTCCTTGTGCAAATGTATTTGATGGACTAAACAGTATATACCTGTACAAATGTGCATGGGGACTTTAAGAATGGTGGTAGATTAGATATTCATAATGGTTTAGTCACATTGTACATAGCTTTAAAATAAAATAACTTTAGTAATGACAGTTAAAATAAAG